GGTTGGCAGCATCCTCTCAACTTTCCCTCTTTTGTTGACTTTACACTTCAGAGTCTTCCATGATTTTCTTCCCTTTTTTGTTGCAAGGTTAACAGAAAGAGAGAAGCTTTCCTAGCCTGAAGCTGCTGGAGAAGTGGTAAGTTGGCAGCCTGGCTTTGTTTGCTCTTTTGTCTTCTTCATTCTTGGCTGCCAGGCTTTTCCTAACATCACAGAGTAGCACAGTATGAGGCTACTGGGGGAGTTTTGGTGACATGGCAATGGTATGGAGAAAGTTGCCTTACACCAGTTTCCAGAGAATGGTCGTTTGCTGACCACAGTCTCTGTCAAAGTCAAGATTGTAGAAGAGTGTGGCCAGTGTCAGAAGACAAGTGACTGAATCCCAGTGGTAATTCATTATCCATCTGACAGTGACAGTGGCTCTGGAAACTTCGGTATTGATACCAGAGAGAAAAGAACAGTTGGCTGATCCTCTGTTTAGGCACCTCTCCCCTATCTGAATAGGACTTTCTAAAGGTCAGACCACATGAGATTCAAAGGAGAATGCTATTGCATTCTGGTTTTAAGGCCCTGAGGGACTGTGGGAGTTTCAAGAACATGTGGAGCTACAAGTGAGGCCTTTGAACTGTATGAGTCTTCCAAACCCAATCCTGTCACATTCATAATTCTGAATATGTTATGCAGGTTTGGCCACTTAGTGCTAAGGCATAAGCAATGAAATGATCACTCATACATTACTTCATACTATTGCTTCTAAGGCTTGCTGCCTGCTCTTTTGATTTTCCATTTATTTTAAGCTGCAAGATGATTTCAAAGGTGTTGAATAACCCACACCTTCCCCAAATAGTGTGCATCTTTTAGTTCTCAGGCTATTTTCTGGTCTGTTCCTCCTTGCTGACATTCTGTCATGAGCATGCAACATCCTTTCTGGAGCTGTGACAGCACTTAGAAACAACATTTGTTTGTGAATGACAGGCAGTCTTGCTTTGTGGTCCAGATGAAGCATGTTAGCAATTTACTGTACTTACTTTGTACTTACCTACTCTGCAAGCCAAGATGAAACACATTCTATTCTTGCACCGTTCCTTTACAGCAACCGAAGAGAATCTGTTTTGGGTTGTTTCAGGCTCTCTCAGAACCTCCTTTGTCACTTCCAAAAAGCTTATGAATTTGCTAACAACTGGAATATTGCTCTTGTATTTGCCTTGCTCAACACATTCTGTGTAGAAGTCTAGGAATACTGCAGCTAGAGCTAAACCAGTGCACCTTCTCTGCACCACAACCTTTAACCAAGTTTCTAACCAGTTAGTGACATGATTAGTTCTAAACAGGATGATTAATATTTAGCTAACTAGAAGACAGCTAACAGTGTTTTACTCCTGCCAGAGGCTTAGGCCAGCACATGATTATCTTCTTATAACTGGCTTGGCACAAACATGTGTGTGTTGGTTTAGGGTTTTTGTTGGGTTTCTTTCTTGCTTTTTCAGCCCCTTAACCGTGTCTAATAACCAGTACAACTGGTCTGTCTTCTTCCTTTCTTGAAGTGTGCTTGGATGTTCCTAACTACAGTGCTCCATAAGCAGCTAGTGCCAATACATGCACGCCCTTGGAGCTGTTCTCCACTTCCATAGACTTCTGGGGGAACATTTGTCCCAAGCTTCCCAAAAAGCACTGACCATGAGAGAGCTCCAGATGTATAAACAGGATTAGTAGTGTTGTATTGCAGAAAAAAAAAAAAGCTGTTTTAGGAATATGACTCAAATTTAGTTTTTGAAACATGAGTTTCTGAGGAGCTCATTAGAACATAGTTATAGTATTTATAGGCAAAGCTCATAGGTGCTTAATGCCACCACTCCAAGGTGTTGCCTCAACTTCTACCAGCTATTGATTATGAAACTTCTACCACCTATTGATTATGAAACAGAAAGAAAAAGTGGGAAGGGTTTACCTGGGGCATTCAAAAGGAATAGCATATGTGGGTATGTGCAAACACATGATGAATTATTTGACACTGTTTAGGGCACTGCTTGGATTTGGGGAAATACGCAGCAAGTTCAGCAGGAAGGTTATGGAGCTATACTTGGCTGGTAGTCAGGGTTCTGAGCTAACCTGCCAAGCTCCTGTGTGCAAGGCTTTAGAGCCATATGGTCAGTAATGAGAGCTACAGGAGAGAGTTTCCTCCATCCTGTCCAAACCATTTTCACATCTTGCTTGGGCAATCCTTCCTTCATCTTTATCTTCACACAATAGTGGAAAACATAAAACCTTGTGCTTCCGCAAACAGCAGTTGAAATCATCCCAAAGGTATTATCTTAGAAACTAGAAAATGATTCAATGAAAGAAGGAATGAATCATATAAATACTCAAAGTGTTGTACCTCAGCAATGTCCCTCCCTTCTTAGTACAAAGCAAAGAACAAAAGCAGGCTGCTGCCTGGCATGGGCCCCTCCTAGATGACTTACTGGGACTGTGAAATCATCAGAAGCCTCAGAAAGAAGTGCTTATGCAGCGTTTATGACTTTATTTTCTTCTCTGCACTTCTCTGTAAGCAGGGAACCGGTAGCTGTGTTCCCTTCAGTGCATATATTCTGTAAGATGGATGAGGAAGGGCAGGGACTGAAGCAAATATTTTATGTTCACACATCTCAGAAACTGGCTTTTTAGGGATAAACCATATTGCACAGAAGAGGGGGCATAAACATTATAAGGTCATGAAAATATGAAACCAGATTTTCATTGCTGAGGATGATTTTAAACACTCTCTTAGAAAACAAGCAATGTTAAATTGTGTGTGGTCTGTTCAAATGGAAAGTAATAATGGGAGGAAGAAATCCTGAACAGGCCATTAAGTGCTATTTGGCAGACAAACCAAGATTGCTTTAGCACTTAGAGGAGTTTCAGTGCTAAAAACATATTGATCTCAGATTGCCAGGCTTAGAGTTAAATGTGTGAGATAGAAGAGGCTGAGGAACCCACTATGGAAGGTATCCAGTGCAAATTACTTGATGAAAGATCATTGTACAAAAGATGAAAAGAATTAAGGAGGATGAAAAGAAGTAATTGCAACTGAAGTTTTCATTCTAAATTCACTTCAAATTGTTTCATCTTCTTAAACAAGTAACTAGGAGTTCATGTGATCCTCCAAGTGCTCCAGTCTGAAAGCTTTTTTGGAAAGCAGAAGGGTTGGTTCACCTTCATGCTCAACTCCTTAGTTTTGCTGGTTTGTTCGCTAGGATGAGAGCGCACTGCAGCTGTTCCCCACTGCTTCAGTGTCTCTTTGTCAGTGCCTTTTTAGTTTTCTTTCTCATTTTGTTCCTCTCTTGTTTTTCTGCACACAGTGCTTTTCACCCAGGCTCTTGTGACATCCATGGCCAATGTCTGTGAGGAATTGCCTCGGGCCAGTGTGACTTTCAAAGGATAAGACAATTTGTTACCTTGCCAATGAACAGTTTATTACATTTCTAATTATTGTTATTAGTCTGGCAGGTGGTGCCATGCCTGATATTTTTACAACTGCCAAAGATGCAGGTACTTCTTTCATGACACAAAATAAGCAGAGTAAGGTTTAAAGAAGAAACAGGCATTCCGCTGCAGGACGGGTTTGGGAATTCTTTGCTCTAATGTGTAGATGACACATGGCTATTTGCTATTTCTGTGTCTTAAGCTGAAACGTATTGACTCTTGAAAGATTTTGTTGTGAGACCAATTGTAATGAGAGTGTGTTAGCAACATAAGTTAGATATGAAGGTATCTCTCCCTCCCTCTCAAGCTCTTTCCTCTAATCTCTATTACTCGTTGTGTAAATTAAAGACTCATCATATTTATAAACTGTAGCTCAGAGTTCATGTTAATCATCACCTTAATATCCCTTTCTCAATGAAGATCTAAGTTCCTAAACATAGAGACCTTGCTTTCTCTGGTTGGTAAGGTTGCATGCCATCAGATGCAAGAAGTAGAGAGGATAGGAATACCCATGTGCATTTCAGTATTAGCTAATGCAATTCCATACTGCCCCTTTTGAGCAGCACAGAACAGTTCCAGCCATCACTACCTGTCCAGAACAGCTGATAAAGCATGTCATGCCTTTTGCTCTGTCATATATTGTGTGGCAAGACATACTTTCTTAAACCGGTTTCACATTGCTTATTCTGCTTCAGTAAATACTGCATGATTTCATGTCACGCTGTTGCTGAAGAGTAGGAACTCAGGGGGAGGAAGAGAGTTTATGACCTTTGGAAGCAGGGGCAGGAAACTCAAAAGGACTACAGGAACATTGTGACTTTATGCAGGGAGGAAATTAGAAAGGCCAAAGCCCAGCTGGAACTTAAACTGGCTACTGCCATGGAAGGCAATAAAAAGGTTTCTGTAAATACACTGGCACCCAAAGGAGGAGAATCTCCATCCTTTCTTGGATGCAGGGAAAGCAGTAACAAAGGATGAGGAGAAGGCTGAGGGACTTAATGCTGCCTTTGCCTCAGTCTTTAATAGTAAGACCAGTTGTTCTTGGGGTGCAGAGGAAATGGTCAGCAACCTGCTCCACTACTTGGACACACAAGGTACTAAGGGAGCTGGAGGAAGGGTGGTGCTCACCAAGGCACTTGCTATCATTCCTCAGCAGTCCTGGCTCACAGGAGAGGTCCCAATTGACTGGAGGTTAGTGAATGTGACACACTATCTACAAGAAGGGCCGGAAGGAAGATCTGGGGAACTGTCAGTCTAATCTCAGTGCCAGGGAAGGTGATGGAGCAGATCACCTTGGGTGCCATCACGCGGCACGTACAGGATAACCAGGTTATCAGGCCCAGTCAGCATGGGCTTATGAAAGGCAGGTCCTGCTTGACTAACCTGATCTTCTGTGACAAGGTGACCCGCTCAGTGGAGGAGAGAAAGGCTGTGGATATTGTCTACATAGACTTTAGTAAAGCCTTTGACACTGTTTCCTGTAGAATTCTCCTGGAGAAATGGGCTGCTTGTGGCTCGGATGGGTGTACTCTTCACAGGGTGAAAAACTGGCTGGACAGCTGAGCCCAAAGAGTGGTGGCTGATCACAAGTGGTGTTCCCCAGGGCTCAGTACTGGGCCCAGTTCTGTTTAATATCCTCATCTATGATCTGGATGAGGGGATCGAGGGCACTCTCAGTAAGGCTGCAGAAGACACCAAGTTGGGAGGGGGGTGGTGGTCTGCTTGAGGGTAGGAAGACTCCACAGAGGGATGTGAGCAGGCTGGATCAGTGGGCTGAGTCTGAGGGAACTGGGGGTGTTTGGCCTGGAGAAAAGGAGGCTCGGGGGGACCTTATTGCTGTCTACAAATACCTGAGAGGAAAGGGTAGCGACATTGGTCTCTTATCCCAAGTAATAAGTGATGGGATAAGAGGAAATGGCCTCAAGTTGTGCCAGGGAACGTTTAGACTGGATAATAAGAAAAGTGTCTTCACCAAAAGAGTTGTCAAGCACTGGAACAGGCTGCCCAGGGAAGTGGCAGAGTCACCATCCCTGGAGGTGTTTAACGGATGTGTAGATGTGGCATTTGAGGACATGGTTTAGTGGTGGCCTTGGCAGTGCTGGGTTAATGGTTGGACTCCATGGTCTTCAAGGTCTTTTCCAGTTTAAATTATTCCATGATTCTATATTTGGTCTTATGTAATCAGTATTGCAATAACAGCTACTTTGTTCTTAGTTGTGTGGCTACTATCTTAACAAACAGGAACCATGTTTTGCTGTTGTCCTCATGACACAAAGAAACTTGTTCTTGTAAAAAAAACAAATCAATTTATTCTTTTTATATATTTTTTTTTACATATCTTCGCTTTTTCCCTGTCTTCCCAGGAATATCAAACGATCTTATTCAGAAGAACCAGACACTTAGATCTGTTACAGTTAATCCAACTGGATTTTACTGTTTTATACATTAGTTCGAGGAGCTAAGAAGGTGGGACAGTCTTCTCTGTCCCCTCCATTAATGTTTTATGACACAGGTACAGTGGGACAAGACAACAAGTTTCCTTAATGCCACATCTACATCGTGTATAAATGGAACATGAACTGGCAGCATCCTATAAGAAAAATGCAGCAATACATTTTGTATAAGATTTAGTGGTTTTGTCCTTCTGTGACTTGGAGGAACTGCAGCTGTACTAGAATAGCTTCAGGATTTGGCTGACTTATGTATGCACCCGCCAGGGCTCCAGGTAAGAACTGATCTTGCTGGAGCAGAGAGCATGGGCATGTTTTGGAGTCATTCCCTGCAGGGGCTGTTCAGCAGGTACAGTAGGCCAAAAGTGGCACTGGTTCAAAATAGTGGCTACAAAGATATTACATGCCTGACTGCACCTGGTGCCGAGGAAGCTGAAGATGTCAGTCCCCTCCCCTTTCCCCATCAGTTGTCTCGTATTTCTGAGATACAGGTGTGTGGTTACAGTGTAAACACACCAAAGAGTTTTCTTCTAGGCTAATAAAGTGCATGGTTTTTACCTTACAGTATCTGTGCCAAAATAGAGAAACAGAGAAAATTCCTGCACTTCCACACAGCACGTGGGGAGAAAGACACTTGTGTCTGGAGCCAGGATGGCAGACAGCACCCGTCCCTCTGGCAGCTACACATTGCTGAATGCATTTCAGAGGTTTGTTTTTGTCTTGTGTACACATCATGTTTTCTGTCCACTGTCAGAGCATCTTAAATGAAGACATAATGTATGACTGTGACAGAGGAGTTTGGTTTCTCTGTGCCATTCTCTGCTCTTTTGTGACTATGCAGAAGGACTCATGTGCTCGCTGTGGTCGTTGCCTTTTGCCACTAATTAGAGGAAGAACTGCTCTGGTTTCATCCCTAAGCTTGCAAGTCTCTCAAAGTCATGATGATGTCACTATTTTTTATGTAGCCTGGGTTATAAAGATGTAACACTAAAGGAATGACAGTGATTATTTCACGTTGACTGGGTGGTATCTTCTGAGACTACTATTTCTTTAGTACCAATTGTAACTCTAGATACCACAACACCACTTGCTTCGGTTGAAGGAGAAAAGAAAAAGCACAGGTGTGAGGAAGTTGCATTGTACAACTGTGTTATCTGCAATGCAGGCAAGTGATTTATGATTGCATGTTTCATGGAGCTGGAATGATATTGCCAGAGGTAAGAATAAAGAGGAAAATTCAACCTCCCTTCAGGTGACAGGCATCTTAAAAAATAAAGAGGATCCTTTTGAATTTTCTGGCAAGTCTCATCAGGAGAGTCCTACAGCAAAAAGGGAAATGTGTCTTTCCCTTTGCAGGCACTACAACTGCCCCAGAACAACCACTACTCACTGTGTAAGATCCCTTTGATAGGCAACCAGGGAAACTGCTGCTGTAGCCACTAGCTGTACCCAGGCTGCGTTCCCCTTCTGCTAGTGCACACAACTTGCTCTTCTGACATTGTGCAATTCCACAGTAATACAGACATTTGTTTCATGGACAACACTGACCACTTTTGCTTTATAGAAAGAAATCAGCTCTGTAATCAGCAGAATTGATGACATTTGGTGTCCTATGGCTTTCCTTTCCTTCCAAAGCATGGAAAGTCCCAGGTCCCAGTGGCAGGTATTGGGAAAACTTGAAATCGTTCTGCTTCCCATTGGCTGGACAGGGATCAAGGGAAATGAGACTGCTGGGTTGGCAAGAGAACCTCAATACCAACCTGAAGTTGGCTGAATAGTATAAACTTGAAGCAGTGTGAAGTTTTGATGGTTTTGTTGATAGTATTTAGAGCACAGTGTCATCTAACAGCAATCACAACTAGAGCTTTAGCAAGAGAGATGTCTTACACAAGCACAAAAGGTCTGAGCCTTCAAGCAGTTGCTTCTGGTCTGATCTAAATCATGTCTAATGAGACAGAAGTGTTGAACCCTTGAATTAACCGCTCTGTTCCTTCTCTGTTTTCAAGTTTGTGCTTTGGGGTTTTTTTCTTTTTGCCAATTTGAATCAATTACATTAATTTTGCAGCTCTCCTGTCCTGCATTGCCTTTCAAAAGCGTTCCTCTTGTTCCGTGACTTCCCCTTAGCTATTTAAAAGTGTTTTCCAAGGAAGATCAACACCAGCCTGGGTGCTTGGCCTTGTTTTGGGAACCTTGGGCATGCCCTGGTGCAGTGCCTGCAGCCACTAGATGGCACAGGGCGAGGGACTCTACACCCTGAATAGCAACCTGACGTTTTCAGTCTGTTAAGTATGATTAAAGGATAAATAATACTAAATGTTTCTTTAATAGGAGAAAATGCACAGCATTGACAGTAGTGATTAAGTTGTATTAAACAGTTGTTATTCTGGACACCAGGTGATTAGTACATTCAAACCACTTCATTTCCAGACTTTGGCACTTGGTCATTACTAACTCAAATCGTAAAGTTCAGTGAATCAAGTTGTAAATAGTTTTATTGGTTCCGTGTTGGAAAAAAAATGGAGTGTTGTGAAATTCCTTGATGTTTTCAAGTTATGTATTTCCTAAGCTCTTTTATGTCTATTTTCTGTTCTCTATTTAGTTATTCATCATTGCAGAAACGATAAACTCTGTTTCTGCCTTTGCATCCACTAAACCCAACATAGTAATTGAGAGCAGAGAGTTGTGTTCCTGAACGAATATGCCAAATGGAGAGAGCTGCACCTTTGCACTAAGATCATAGAATCATAGAATAGTTAGGCTTGGAAAGGAGCTTAAGATCAACTAGTTCCAACCCCCTGCCCCTGGACACACTGCTGACTGCATGCCGTAGTTACCTGAGGGAGGAATTGGCTCCAAGCATGAGAGGGGAGCTGCTCTTACAGCTCGGGGAGAACAGCCCAGATTTACATACATGCTGATGGCTGCTGGATAAAACACTGGACCTTCATGTCTCTGTTGGTTTGTCTTTTGTTTTCTGAAATATTTTTCAGCTGTTTGAGAGTTATTTTATGTCTATTATATGATAAAGTTTCCTTCAAAGCAGTTTTTTTGTTTTGTTTAATGAAAGCCTAGGAATTAAGTTGTAAGATCTAGATATATTTCAAGGTGTCAGCGCTCTACAACAAGGCTTCCTTAAAGTTCATTTTAATACCTTTTAAGTGACTGGGAGCAAGTTTTTGGTTTCTCCAAACCAAGTTGAGGATTAACTTTAACCTGTTTTGGCTTGAAAATGGACTGTTAAGTCTGTTTATGATTCCAGTGCCTGCTGAAGTGACCCTTGCATCACTTAAATGCCACTTTACAAATTGCTGGCAAGATGTTTATGATGAAGTGCCTTTCTCACTTGTAAGCTATTTTCATTGTTGTCTTAGCCTGCTTAACATCAAGCTGGTTTTCTGTGGGGCCATAGGTTGTAGAAATGCATATGTTTTACTGGGCTAAATCCTTGACATTCTCTTAGGTGTACATGTATGTGCCTGTAGAACGTGTGTGTATGCGTGTGTGTGTGCGTGTGTCTGGGCAAGGCAAGGCAAGACAGCACCATAACTCCAGGGAAAATGGAGGAGGTGACTGCGAGTCACCCACTTACTCACTGGCATATACTGTGGGAAACCTGTATTTTGTGGTTTTGAAGAGCACTTGCTTTTTAGACAAGGCAGGCAAGGAGGCAGACAGCCCCTTCTGATTAACAAATTTATCACTTACAGCTCCTGTGTAAAACCAACTGAGTGTCAACCCCAAAATGAAGAGCTGCATTGGAAATCGCACCTAAGTACAGCAGGTGCTGAGCTGGCAGTTTCACAGAAGGTTGTGAAATTTGATCACACAATGGGAAATAGAGCCACTCCTTGAGGGCAATATCTGGAAACATAATGGGGAACCACCCTTCAAAGGTGATCTGTGTAATAATGGGGCTTAGAAACACTTTCTACCTGCTTTGCTTACAAAATGATGAACGTTTTTAATAGTGTTACTGGGTTTTGCACAAGCACACTATATTTAGCTGCACCTCAACTACTCCTGTGCTCAGACACACCCAGGGCAATAAACTGCCCAGTGCTTACTTGCTACTACCATCACTTCAAGGTGGAAACTATTAATGAAATTATCTGTTCTGCTGATACCCTGACATTATTGTTGACTTCTCTGTCTCCAGATGACAGCTTTTCACCCCTGTTCTTCTGGGAGCTAAGCATCTGTACATCCCCCTTGTGTAACTTTCACTGCAGCCCTTTTCTGGTAAGTCACTAACCTTGATATACTCATATATGCTAATGAACATGGAACACCCAGTGTTATTGCATTGGCCCCATGACACTCTGTGCTACTTGATGTCTCTCTTCTTTCTTCTTGAGATTGCCATAAAGATTGCACCTGTGCTCCTGCATGTAGTTATGCACACCACAGCCTCTGAATAATGTAGACTAATAGAAAAGACTTCAAAGAATCATAACACACTTTTAAAGGGCTGGAAGGAGAGGCTGATGGGATATGTTATAAGAATGCTCTATTTCCTGCTTAGCTAAGCAGTAATTTAGAAGGACATGTAAACTCTGGGCAAGTGTTTCAAAGAAAACAAAAAGCAAACAAAAGCTATGCACAGTGCCCTGATGCTGTAGACAAAGAGCAAAGAAGGGAGAGGCTTCCAGCAAATCATCTGCTTGAGTTTGTCATTTTTGGGTGCTCAGACACAGGGTGAGCAGGGTAATGAAAATATTTAGACAGATTTATGTTATTTGATAGAGGTAAATGCAAAAGGAAAGAAGGTGAGTGAGTGGTTTAGCAGTGGCCCGAGCAAGTCATTATGTGATTGAAATCAATTACCCAGGAGCTCATTAGCAAAAGAGAATAAATGCCTTTCCTTCTCGTGCTGTGGATAGTTTATTGGATCCCTATCACATGTCAAATCAAACACTATCTTTCAAAGCCGCTGAAGGATTAATACCAAACTGTTCTTTCTGAGTAGGTGATTTTTCAGAGCAATGAAGCCATGAATGCAAAGGGAATCAGTGAGCAGCAGACACAAGAACTGTCTTGACAGTTGGAACTGGAAATAAACTACTGCAGGTCAGTGAATTCTAACATCTCATAAATCACATGTACAGTGCAAAGAATGAAATTCACCCATGTTCACTCTCATTGAACCTGTAGGGTTCAAGTGGGACTTCAGAAATGCAATAGACTTTGGGCAGGCAACAACAAAACAAAGCATTTAGTGCAGGGTTCAAGGGCACCTATTGTATAACTGGTATGCCTGAGCCCATTTATGGCACCAAGTGCTTGATTTGACAAAGTGTCTTTGGATATTCTAGTATCTTTGTCAGTTCAGTCATTAGGAACTGCAAGTCAGTTCCAGCAGAATAAGATTAAATATTTAACAGTATTAGAGGCTTTTGCAAAGGAAGATCTTGGGTTTGAGATCCCAAGAAAATTGGAATCCTAATAATGAAGTAATGATTACTTTAACAATAAGAGTAAATCAATTATGTTAACTTCTCTGATGATTTAAAGATATTTTAAGTAAGCCCACACACAAGCAGCTGGTACATGGAAGACAGAAGCACTGATATATAATGGGAAAATTCTCCATAACACAGGGGTACATAAAAAAATCTTTAATTCAATCATGTATATTTTAGGACACAGGGATTCTCTCCTTCTCAAAAGAATATTGCTCTTCTTATCATGACCTCACAAGCTGTAATCTTACATAAATAACAATGGGAGAGACATTCTAGGAATAAAATGGTCTTTTACATTCATAAGTGGACTGCAAATAAATACATTTCAAAGTAATATAGTGGGCTGACAATATGGGACTTGTCTGTAATCATACAGCACATGTCTTGCTGGGAATGCCCACAGAGAATTTAACAGTCATATACATCTTGAACACATACACAGCAGACTGTATACTCATCAGGATTAGGAGACCAGCAATGTAGAGTCTCTTCTTTATATACACACTTCTCTTCTTTCTCGCTGCAGATTTCACATTCTGCAGGAGGAACTGGAAAAGCAGTGTAGCACTTGGGGAAAATCTACCCTTGCAGAGACAGAAAACCTGAAGATACCTGGGACAGTTGGAAAGCCAAAGGTTACCTTTTCTAGGGTAACAAAATTGCCAGCTAAACAGCACTGTTAGGCAATTTTATTGCTGTTACCAACGGAGTGATTTTGCTTGTAGGTGGCTTGTCCTTTTCCACAGAGCAGGCCTGTCTCTTAACCAGTGCCTTGGCAAAACACACGTAGATGATAGTCTTGCTCTCGCTGCAGTTCCAACAGAAACTGTGTTGCTTTCATGCCTCTCCATATTACGGGCATGTACCTGTCTTATTTGCCCAAGATGGGAAAGTTTGCAGTTGGAACAAAGATGAAGCCCAGGTGTTGATGGCTAGATTTATCGTCAGAACTCCTAGAATGTTGAGTACAAACCCAGATTTGGCCTGGAATTATAAAAGAGAAAGGTTACAAGCCGAACTGAGTTCTTTTTAATTCCTTGATGATTAGGGTTTTGTATATGGTTAGGTTTTATCTTTGACCTTTTTTACAAGTCCATCATAACTCCATCCAATTACACCAAAGTTGGTTTTCTTCACAAATATAATTTGTATTAGGGAAAAATGAGTTTCCTTTGGATAAAACTAGAAGTTCTGAAATCCTTTTAATCCACTTTTGTGGGACTTTCTCTTCTGACCTGATGTCTGTCTCTAATGTTACTTTGGACTTCTTGGATCAATCATGGGTTAGAAAAGTTATCAAGAGACATGGTATCCTTGTCAGTCTTTCCCTAATATAGTGAGAAAGGGCATCAGGGCAGCCTAGTGACATGGGCTGGGCTTTCCCCTTGTACCTGCAGGACTGTTCAGGTGGTTGGACTCTCACATCTCTATGATCTACCTTTGTCCTTTTCAATCAGTTAGACATTGTCATTTCTCATTGACAGCAAGATCTTACTGGAAGATGTTCAAGAGGCCTTGCCTTTTCTTTAAAAGCTCAAGGGCATCTTTGTAAGTGCAACTGTTCTTTATAATGATGAAAATTCTGAAAAGAATGTGCTTTCACTCACCATATCTATCACTTTGAGCTGTCCATAGGAGAAGACAATAGCATTAGGAGGAGTGGCCACTGGGAGCATGAATGCCAACGATGCAGAAAGTGTACAGGGCAGCATGACATAGAGTGGATTGAGGCAGATCGCTTCAGCCTGTGCAAGGAGGGAGAGCAAATATGATGGTTTTGATAGACAAACCCATATAGAAATCTTTTGGCAGAGACTGTATTTGTTATGTCAGAAACCTCAATCTTTTACAAACACTGCAGCCACTGAAACGTTGGTTCTGCTTTAGCAAATTCCAGCCAATGTCTGTATGCAGCAAATGCAAGAAGTGATTTTGTGGTCAGTGCTTTGTGTTCCTGATGGTGGAATCTGATCACTCCTGCAGCATAAATTAATAATGGTTGTACTCCACTCTAAAAGCAGGAAAAAATGTTGCTTCAAACTGGTTAAGAACAAAACTCTGTTATCAGAGGAATCAGGGTAGCCCAAGCTCTGAAGGTGAGTGGTTTAGGGGTGAGACTGGTGCCTATGCAAACAGATCTTGGTGGAGCTTATTGCAGTTTCTGTGTGGAACCAGCTTCTCATGCTGCAGAACTGTGCCTACCCCAGCAACAGGAATCTGTGAAAATGCAAAAATCTGAATTAGGTCATAAAGCCTGACTAATGCTATCACCTTCAGAGACTTCTGGAAGGCCAGTGGTGGGAGTGAAATACAGTAATGGAATGTTGCAGGGAAGCAAATGCTGCTGCTGGTGCTGTCTCTATGCAGAACAAATAGGAAAAAACAAGTACAGCTGGCAGTGACCTCATGAGGTTGTTTAGGCCAGAAGGCAAAGTCTAATATGTCAATGAATTTAATCCCTTTATTTTTCAGCAGCCATGGTTTTAGAAAGGTTGAACTAAGCACAGTGTATGTGAGTATATATGCATCCACATGCATATATGTACATTATAAATCTTGTATTCCTGATCCGATACATGAATCAGTGCTTGGCTGTGTTAGCCAGTTATTTATAATTGAGCAGATATATGCTTGTGAAAGAGTTGAAAGCTGTTGTTATAAGAGTGTTTTGAAATGCTGGAACTTACCATTGAAGCCAGAATAGGGAGGAAGAGGGTGGTGGTGGCCACATTGCTGGCACACTCAGTGAAAGTGGCAATAAGGAGACACAACAGGAGAGCAATAGCTGGGTGAGGGATTTGCTGCAGAGGACTCAGTTTGCTTCCTAACCATGAGGACAGATGAGACTCCTGTAACAGAGGAAAGAGGTTTGTCAGGATAGTAGGCTGGAGAAGAAATAGCCACATCACAGTCCAGTTACATTTCTCATATTGATTCTACCTTCCCTTCTTACAGGAGCTCTCATGCAAACTGCTTTCTGTAGAACAAGTAAAAGGCAATGCTCATAGATACAATCATTTGGTAGGTTAAATAACAATAAACATGCTTTCCCTTGCAAAGAATTTAAAATAAGAAAAAGGTACTGCATTATAGTATGTTATTGATGGCAAATAATTATTTCTCTGGTCAAGTCATTATTGCACATGATCAACATTCAGGTCTTTTTGTTTTAATCTAAACATTTTTATCTGCCGCTGAAGGTTCTCCAGCTAGCTCTACATTTGTCTTCTAATTTAATTTAAATCCTATTTCCATAAGTAGTTAGTTTGAAATAGTTTGGAGGCCCATCCTGGGCACATCATCTCCTCATTCTTTCCACATCAGTTAAGGTTTATTTAATAAAACTTTCAATGTGTTGGGGTAGTTTCTTAATCATCCACTCTTCTAGAAACACAGTTAATGTGCTGCCTGGATCGGCAGTACCATCCCAGTTGCACAAGCAACAATAAGGATTTGTTCTCATCACAGGATTCCTCCTAAGGAAGTCTGTCCTACTGCCACTAGCTGAGGAGATGCATGTTTAGTGCTACCAGCATGCCCTCTTGTGTTCTGGGAGAGCACTCGTGGAAAGCAAGATGGAAAACACCCAGGAAGACACAAATACCAGGTAAGCAGAGGAGTGTTACCTCGCTGCCTTTAGCTAAGGCAAAGCCACCTCCCAGCAGAAACACAATGTTCCATGGCATTTTCTGGTGAACCACTTTCCACTCCAGCAGAGCTGGGGGTGCTTGGATCCTTGGCTTGCTGCCTAAAACCCAGACAGATTTTGTAAGCCATTGTTGCATCCTCCAGAGAAAAGAGAACTTCCTGGAGGGAGGTGAGTTTAGTCTGAACATCAGGAAACACTTCTGCCAGCAAGATCCAAGTAGACTGGAATTATCTCTTAAAGCAATCATCAACAAAGATTTAAAACTTGACTTGCAAAAATACTGATGAGTGATGTGTAGCTGCTCCAAAAGGCATGGTAGAGTACAGGTAAGAGGGATGGAAAAGTATGGCAACATATCTGGTAAGTCATGTATTCTCTCCTGAAGACTCCAGCAGCTTTTACAGATGTGTGTACTAGTGTCCAAAACGTTGCTGGGATAAATGTTTCCTACTTAGTTAAATTACAGAACCAGAGAACTTTCATTAGCTATGTGCCTTGCCTAGCCTAAAGCATTACAGCTATGCAGGAAGAGCAGTTTGAATTCTTGTTTAATGTAAACGTACCTGTTTGGTCATTGTCTCTGAAACTGATCGACACGTCAGAAGGGATGATGAACAACAGAACCGAGATGAAGATGGCAACTGTAGCATCAGTGACATAGCTGCAAGAGGTCAGGCAGATATTCAGTTCAGCTCTGTTCTCATTTTCATTAAATCTAGCTTACTTTATTCAAAGTGAGGAGGAGAAGGGGTTATACCTTGTATCATTTTTGTTGAACAGAACTGTTGCCCAGCCTGGGATGAAGCCAGGATCTCTTGTAAACCAGAGCACTACCAGTAGTACAAAAAGGACCAAAACTGCTATTTCTGCAAATTTCATTGAGCCCAATTTCTTGCTCTCTTCCTTGATAATGTCATAGGCCTGTTGCTCCTTTGCCTTTGCAGAGGCATTTGCAGCACACCCAAAGTTCTCATGAAAACTAGAAGAAGATGGACAAGAAATATCAGAGAAATTTGCCAGATATCCTTAAAGGTAAGAATCCAAATGTAATACATGGTCATATTGTCTTTTAGATAGAAGTATTTATATATGCATATAGAAATCATATATATCATCACATCAGCAGCCATAGGTGTTGGATAGTAACTGCATTGTACTGGGTATTACCATGATGACCAGAGAGAAGCTTCAGGCCCCTGAAAACTCATCCTCTACAGACAGGCAGGGGTGCTATATGGACACATGGGGAAATAATGGCAATGTTGGTCTGAGTGACACGACTACCTGATCACCAGGAAGTAAACAGTTGCCAAGCTTTTTAAAATGATGGAAAAGGAGAGTTTTAAAAGTGGAATTTCCAGCTGAAAGTGGTGGTATTATATATTTCAGGTATTACAGCACTCTTTCAATTTAAAAGAGAGGAGGATGGGGATAATCCAAAAGTGATAGGCTAAGTATTAAAGTGGTAGGCAATGCAAGCTGGTGGTATGGGGTGATTAGCACTGGGAATGGCACAATACTAATCCTCTAGGTCTGGAGCAACTCTTGTCACAAAGGTATTTACCAAGTGTAAGTAGAAATTAAATTCCTGGTTTGAAGCACAACAGTCTTTCAGGGCCTGAAAGCAATGCTGCAGAACAGGTTGTATGCAGTTATAACTTCATGTTTTCATCTACCAAGTGTACTTAGCAGGGGTTTGATCAGATTCCTCAGAGGCAAAGTTACAGTATTTTAATAGATACTTAGTATGCTGCTCTGGTAGTGTCTGTTGTATGTGAGGACTTGTCACTTCTGTCTGACTTTCAAGCGTAAGCTCATCACTAGTGTTCCGACATGTAATGAATACTTGATAACAGGCCTGTCAGCTGTAATGCAGTGTGTGAAGGGTACTTACTTAAAGCCCAAGTACAGTATCAGCAGCCAAATCCATGTCAAAGCCAGTAACAAGATCATGGTGGGGAAGGCAAAGGAGAACCAGGAGGCAAAGTTGACGATATTACCATTTTTAGGAAAGAGCCTGTGGAATGCAGATGGCTGTTAGCATCCAAAATTCTGCACTCTTCTGTATTTAATGATTCAAAAAAGCAGAGGTACTGAGACCCACTAAGGAAGACAAGCTGACTTCCGAGAAAGTTACCAAATGGGTATTTTCCTTCTCTGTGTTGGCTGGAAGTCAGCTGTGGCAGAATGATGCACTTTAATGGGTATGTAACCCCAAATTCAGCCAGACTTACTCATCAACTTGTCCTTGCAGTATCAGATTTGGTGTTGTCCCAGTTAGAGTTGCAATCCCTCCAATACTGGCTGAGTAACAAATAGAGAGAGACATTCCCTTGCTGAGTTTCTTTTGTTTCTCCTCTAGCAGACTTTCATTTCTCTTTCTGTTTTCCTCGACTGTCAGGGCATAACTATTACCTAGGTCCCAAGACAAGAACAAAAGTGTTACAGGAGCTAGATTGGGTAGGAAAAGATCTTGTGCCTGCATAATTCAGTATTTCAAGGCTAGGACACAATAGACAAAGAATTCCAGGAGGTACAACAGAGCCAGAGGAGTTGGACTGAAGAGAACTTGTTCTGTACCAGCACCTCACTCCTGGCACTGAGATTTGCATTTTGAGTTGTCTCAAAGAGGGGAAGAAGGCAAGACAGCTGGTAAAGAGAGATTGTTGTATGATTGCATATCTTTGGATTAGAAAGATCATTTTAATCTCTACCCTTCTGGCATGAAATTTTCCCTCAGGAATTTCCTATTATCTGATAAGTTACACAGTAGATAACAATTGAACTAATATAACTATAGAGGGAAATATCAAACCTAATATAAAGGCTTCCAGTAAGTGAGAATTTACACGTTTTGCTGTTTTGTTGATTAATTATCATCTTTTCATCTTTTCAATCTGTTTGTAACTTCAGCAAGTCAGTTGATCTTAATGTGCTTTTGTCTGGTTCATGGAAGAGCCTCTTAAATGCCATTGGATGCAGTCAGAATGCTTTGGGTACATTCTTCCTTCAGAATTTACTAACAACTCTAATGACAGTGAAGAAGGCCTCAGGTCATCCTCCATTACCCCAAAGAGAAAACCACCTGTAACCCACTCACCTTTTCCCTCTGTTTCTTTGGAGCTACCTGGCTTAGTTGACTCTTCCTGCAGTTCAAAGGCTTTATTGATCTTTTCAGATGTTTGGCCAGGTGATTTAGACCCTGCTTCTGACTTGTGCAACTGCTCCAGCACTGCTTGTGCTATTGGGACCATCATGGCAGTGGTGGCAGTATTGCTGATCCACATGGACAGGAAGGCAGTCACAACCATGAAGCCCATGAGAAGTCTGACGTGAAAAGGTTTGGAAAAGTCAGTTCAGAACTCAGCTCTGTGATGCCCTTTCTTCATTGCAAAGCTTTGCTTACAAAGCTTTTGGTCTGGAAACTGCTTAGTAACTCACACCCAGTACTTCCTCCTACCCTGGTCTGCTCTGGGAATGACACTGGAAGATTTCACAGTTTCAGCCAGTTATGTTTTTACATTCTTAGCACTAGGAAAGGGGAAGCTGGGAGCTTGAAGCAGTTTATCCAGTCAGTGTCCTGCTTATTCTACATGCTTCTGAGGAAGACATTCCACCTAAACAACACATGTTAATGTATTATCATGTATTTCGAAGAGGAAAGCTGAATTTGAGCCCAAGTGGCAATCAGTTTAAGCCGTAAGGAAGATGATCTCTCTTTTTTTTTGGCATTTTATCCCCTCTATTATTTAAGATTTTCTTCATATAAAATTCTAATCCATGTTTCAGTATTACTCTGTTGTTTGTCTCAAAATTATTCTTTAGATGAGACGTAGATTATATATCAGATGAAAAGGGTTTTATCTGGTATGTGTTTTTATTCTATTGCTTTGTAATTTCCTTCACTATTCCCTCTTCTTATGATCTGAGACAAATTAAATAGAGCCATGAAGCCTCTGCATAGCTTAAACTTCTAGTCTGGTAAACACTTGTTGTTTTCAAAACAAGCATCCCCATATTTCCTCTTCTCTCTCAGTTAGAGTATGTTTTTGTGTGGAGTCTTTCCTGACTGTCTAAAGCTGTGCTTCTGGCCAAGCCCAGCAGCACCCTTGTCTTTCTGGCACTGACTTGTTGCTATTTCTCCACCTAAAGCCATTTGGCATTCCAGAAAGACACACCAGGTCTGTAACACATCAAAGGATCCCCATTTGCAAGGTCTGCTCAGGCACTGACTCACTTGGACTGTAGAAAAGCATTTGTAGGATACAATTTGCAGATTCACATGGGAGACGATGGGCAACTAATGCCATAAAGTCCTTTATCCCACAGTGTTACTCACAGGGCTGGTCTCACACCAGTGATAAGCAAGACCCGCAGAGCAACGCGCTTGTGTAGGTTCCAGTGCTCAATAGCGATGGCCATCAGCAGTCCCCCAATGAAAAGCATATTGCTGTCCTTCAGGTACTCCCGGCACACCTGTAACATGGAACAAGGGAGAGAAAACAGTGACAAGGAGCCAAGAAAGAAGGCATCTTCTGAGGGAGGATCTCGTTCTGGAGACATTAGCATGGAGTAACTATGGATTGCATCTCAGCAGTGGATTTGCTTTGATTCAGATTAGCAGCTCCACCAAGAGTTCACTCTAGGCTCATGCAAGTCCTGTTCTATGGAGAGGACAGATAACTGCTGTGTATCAGAAGTGCCATTTGCTCTTCTTTGCTCTGAAAATCATGTTAGAAATAAACCCCAAACAAGCTGACCAGCAAGCACACAGGCAAACATGTATAGAGTATGATTTCTTACTGTTGTTGAATCCATGATATTCATCAATGGGAAGAACAGGACAGGGAGGAGAGCTGTGACAGCCAACGGCAGCACTTCCATGCACCAAAACAGTGCCATCACTATGATAACATAACCACATTGGGCCTCCTGACAGAAGAAGAGTACATGCAATCAGAACAGACTGTACATCTTACTTAAGCTTTGAGAAAGCAACAGCCCATAATTATATTCATTGCCTGACAAAGGGGTTAGAGAAAATGTTATTCTCTGTCTTCCCCTCCTATCTATCCTCCTACCTATGCAGATCGTAATCAACTGGCAAGCAATTCAACAACCTTGTGAGGAAAAGATGGGGGCCTCCAATGGGGAAAACAAAGAACCATAGGAAAAGAAACAAACTGATGACTTTGAACCCTTCATGATAAGGCTTAGCAGTCCCTGCACAGGCTTCGGGATTTTGCTGATAGAGGTGCAGAAACAGGTACTGAGCCAGCCAAGGTTTCCCCACCTTTTTCTCCACGTGTTTCAGAACATGGCTCAGGTGAACCCCAACTCATTTCAACAGCCTGGATTCCTTGTACCTTAAATACCTTTATCTGTTCTTCACTGGATTTTTAGCTTAGTACAGACTTTGAAAGGCTCACTGACAAACCAGTCACAGACCAGTTTCAGCTTCCACTGACTATCCTTTGAAGGAGGTATGATCCCTTATTCCATGTTCCTCGTTCTGAGAAAACACTTTAATTCTTTGGAGAACCACTCCAAGCTTTATATACAAATATTTAACTTGGTCCCTATACACTAGATAGCTTGTCACAACCAGTTTTCACATAGATGAGCTGATGAAGAGAGTAAGGAAAAGTTAACACTGCAGGTTACAGTGTCTTCCTCATTTTGCAACTGGCACAATAATAAGTACCTGCAGATCCAAAGGAAGAAAACAGTGGTTGTGTGGGCTTACATTAAGGGTGGGCATGAATGAATGAATGAAATTCATATGAAATTGATCTCACCTGAATGAAAATGTAGTGATGCTAAGTAAGGAAACCATTAATGAAGAGATGGACATTGTAATGGTGAGATTACAGAGGATTAAACTGAGGAGCTAAGATAATGCCTGCCTGCAGGATCAAACTTGTGATGCTTTAGAACGTGCTGAGGACTCCTGGACATGGCCTGGAAGTCATGGAGCTGGTGAAGGGGAAGGATGAACAGGGGAGCTGAGAAGTCTGGAGGAAAGAAGAAGATCACAATCTAGGTGGTAAATTACCAAAGCTGCAGGGTTGGAGAAGTAAACCTGAAAGAGATTAATGAAGAGATGACAAGATACCTTTCTGAGCCTTATTTTTGAATGACAGCATTCAAAACCATAACTACACATCCTATCAAACACTTAAAGCAATTTTCAATATTGATGATCCTTTTTTCTCCCATTTTTCACCCTAACAGACACCAGTGGATGTCTTTTGAGAGACCCTGGCAGGGCTTTGGAACATATATTGTAGGCCCAGTGCTATTCTCCTCAGCCTGCTGTGCACAGGCTCCCAGTAGAAGCTGGAACAAGGCTTTTCACACAACCAGTTGTCCTGTAATGACATTTCTCTGTCATTAGACAAAATCTTGAGCACTGTTTGCTCTCATTTGTAATAGTTTAGTGCCCAAAGCTGTCATTATAGCACAGGTTAATAGCTCAACAGAAGAGAAAAATGTGAAATTCCACTCTGTAGTCTGTGTGCTCACAACCCCTCCTGCTGAGGCACCAGCTTTTCCTGCTTAACATACCACGATGCACAACCCCAACACAAGAAACCTTCTTACAGATTGCAAAGGGAAAAGTCCAGGACAGTTTGAATTTCTTGTGTTATAAGTGACTACCTAGAAACCAAAGAGAGTCATTTTGAAAGAGAAACTGAACCAAAACATTTCATAGGCAATACAAAGGACTCACTGTATGGTAACGATGACTCCAGCAAGTAAGTTTGAACTCGTGGCCTCAGGATAAAGAAAACCCATCTCTCTCCTTCTGGCTACTTAAAACTGTTCTGAGCCACATCTCTTTAACTTCAGGAACCCTTTTGGCTATGGAATGTTAACTAGCAAAATAAGATTCTTTTTCCTGTTTTTTCTTCTTAGTAAGTTTAAGTGATACTTTAAGCTATTTTCTTTGCATAGCATGAGAATAAGAGGGCACTCCTCATCAGTTACCACATTTCTCCTCAAGCCAGTGCCATGCTCTCATTCTTGCTTGCAATCTATAGCTGCAAAGTCTCGGATAACAGCTCCAAAAAGACTGCTGTGAGGAGGGAAGGGCTTTGGGACAGGCTGCACGAAAAGACAAGGAAGAACTCCTGGAGTGAGGATGGAGCCTGGCAAAGGAGACTAGAAACTGTGAGTCAGCAGGGATTTGGGGGCAAGCAGAGACCCGAGGAAAGAGCTGGGACTTGATGTCCAAAGAGCAGTGACAGGAGAGGTAGATTGAGACTTACTAATGCAGGGACTGCAATAAAAGACCTGAAAAGCAGAGATTAGATCTGTCTGCATGAAGAGATTGGGAGGCTGAGGAGTAAGTCAGAGCACTGGCAGTCTGCCTGCTCAGCACACTGCGTTTGAGTGATCAGTGCCTCAGAAATACCTCAACAAATGCTACAGGGATTTGGAGTTAAGGAAGGAATTCTAGGCAAAGTGTCTTCTGAAGCTGGACAATTTCAGTTTTAAATCACTGTTTGGAAAGATTCTTATAGGAATATGCTAAAGAAAGAGTGAAATATTTATTACTTCATCCTCATGTATCAGAGTACCTTGTTCTTCTGACCAAGGAAAACGCCTCTTCTACCTGACAGTGACAACAAGGGGAAAAAATGAAAGGAAAAAAACAAAATATGGACTGCATTCTTTTAGGAAATCAGAAGGGGAATTAAAAATTGAGCCTTAAATTGTGTCTTAGGTTCACACGTATGAACTTCAGCACAGAAAGCCCTTTGCTACATCAGGCAGAAGCAAAGCAAAAGCCACAAAATCACTTGTCACTGAGCATTCTTCTAGAATATGCTATCACAGATGTATCTGTTTATCCATCTACATCCCATGGCTTCTATATTCCCTCACTACCAGTAGTCAAAGGAGTCTGCTCAGCAAACAAAAAAGATCTTCAAGCCGTAAATGAAGTGCCTCTGCGGAAGGATCTGTATGTTCTCCTCAGCTCTGTCATTTAAAAGGAACAACTCTAAGGAGAGATTTGGAGATCAAATTCAATTTAAGAGGTCTTACCTTGGTAGGGACAGCCAGAGGCAGGGGAAGAAACAAGAGGGGTATAAGCACCACAAGCAGGTATTTCTTGCAGGCCAGGATAATCTGCAAGAAGCGAGGCATGGTGCTGGAGCTGGCCCAGTGCTGAAGGACCCTAGATCTGCTGCTGGAGGCTATATAAACACTTGGGAATATTAACCATTGACCTCGGGAGGTTGGGTGTTGTTTTTGGAACTGTAATTGGAGAAAGAAGGAAGAGAACAAAGAAGGGAGGAGACAGCAGAAAAGTGTCAGACCAGGTACTTTCTTCAGACAATCTTCCTGATAACTGCTAAATCCAGTAGAGAATTAACTCCTTGTGGACCAAGTAGGTTTATTAACAGCATCCTGAAATGAACTATGCTTTTTAATAGAACACTAATGTCTTGTCTAATGCCTTCTTTGAGTAGGTACTGTTATTTCTTCTATAAAAAGAGAAACTGCTCCTTCATAATAGCTTGAAGGTCTGCAATACTCAAAGTGTAGAGCTTAGAAAGGTCAAGAAGCATTATATACACATCATTGTATTCACTGAGAAGTTCTTTGGGTAGCAAACCCCCACTAGAGCAGAGCTTCCAGCACCAAATGCCACATCAAGTCCCCATGGAGAAAGGGACTCACAGTCCTCCCCACCTGAGAGCAGGAGCACCCATCCTTGTGTATTACAGCCCTCATGACAATCCCTCTTTCTTCTACTCATAAGAGCAACCGGGGAAATACTAAGGTTTGGTCAGAACTCAGTTTCTCCCACCTGGCAGCCCAGTAGGTTATAAGTCAGGCTTAGGGCCAGAGAGGCAACCCTATACTCTGATGTAGCCTGTTGTATCTCAGTGGATTGGGAAAGACTTGGCCACAGTGCATCATAGGCTGGGGTTTCTTAACCTTGCTCTTGCAGGTCTATAGACACAGCTTTGGTAGCCTGCAGGATGTCCTGGGCAGGGAGGTGAGTGCTAAATGATGAACAGTTCTTGGTCATTTTAGCAAGAAACTCTCCAAATCCAAGCAGTGAATTACTTGGTTTTGTGAATATGCAGGAGTGGAACTAAACTTTCCAGTCCCAAAGGGGGTGTCGTGTTAATGTCACTTTGATGCCTTTGTTTGCTAGATCAAGCAAGTGCATACTTCAGATAATGATGATAACATTTCTGTTTTATTGGTATAAATTGTCTCAGCTCTGTTTATAGCTTACTCAAGCAGAGAGAGAGGAGCACAGACATTAGGTCATCTGATGTCAACACCACAAAGAGCTTCTGCTCTTTCCCTCTCTCACCCCTTTTCTGCCAGGGCTTGTGATTGAAAACCAGTGAGGTTTCAGCTGCCAACTCACAGCTCTCTTGCAAACTTGATTTAGGCATATTGCTCACAAGAAACAGCATCATGTAACTTAACTGCCAGTCCTGTGCATTAGCACTTCAACCCTTGGTACAAAAAGGAATGAGAAAGCACTTTCAAATGAATTATATTCATATTTTTGCTTCTATTTAATGTTGAATTAGTGGCTGAAAAGGTGCAGTGACAAAATCAGCCAATGGCAAAGTAATTGTTCTACTTTCTACTCTTATGTCCTGAGTTTGCAATGAAAATCTAAACTGACACCTTCTTCTCATATCTCTCTTATGAAGGTTGGCCTCCAGCTGCAGCATGGCCAAGGGGGAATAAGTAACGATGTGGAATGATTCCTGTCTGTTCCTCAGACGCAGCACATCCACAGAGATTTTCTCCACTGAAAGGTGAGTCCTGTTGCTTGCACAGATGCTATAACCAGGCTCTGCAAGTGTGTTACAGCAGAATGACTGGTTTATGTGTTCAGGGGCATTGGTCAGAGCTTCACTTGTAGCCCATTAACACTCCCTCAGTGGTGTCAAAGGACTGATGTCAGTTTGCATTAACTTGGAACCACTCCAGTTTATGTAGACGGGTTAATCTAACACTGAATCGGGTCCTTGGAATTAAAAATACAACTTGGTTTTTCCTTCCTGATCTGCTCTTCCAGTCAGACCAAGCCCAGCAGGGAACCAAACAGCACAGCCAAAACCTCTGTGTTGCAGCTCTAAGTTATTTTGTCCTTTCAAAACAAGTATTTTCTAATGTGCTGTGAATCAATAGGAGTGATTACACATTGCAAACCGCAACAGTTGTCAGATCCTAGTGCATTTATGGAATCCTAGAATGGTTGGGTTGGGAGGGACATTAAAGCTCATCCAGCTCCAACAGCTTCCACTAGAGCAGCTTGCTACAAGCTCTGTGTTCAGAACCCTGCCAGGGATGGGGCAGCCACAGCTCCTCTGGGCAGCCTGTGCCACCGCCTCAGCACCCTCACAGGGAAAAACTGACTGCTTTAAAACGTTGATTATAACTTTTCCTTTGGAGGTAAGAGAAAGAAAACAGGGTTTAAGTTGGAATTTCTTTACCCATCGATCAACAGCCCCCCGGCATTGAAAGCCTTGTGCACGGTAGGGATGCAAGCGCCAGCCCCGGCGCCTGCTCTCACTGCAGCTCACGCAGATCCCTCCCTCGTTCTGCAGGAGGAAGCGCTGCGAACCCCTTGCCGGTTCCCCGGCGGGGCGGAGCGGAGCGGAGCCGAGCCGCCTGTCCCGGGCGGAGCGCGCTGCCCCGCTCCCCGCCGCCATGGCCGCGCCGCCGCCGCTCCCCTCCCGCCGTTGCCTCCCAGCGCTGGCCGCCGCCGAGCCGCTCCTCTTCCTGGCCACTCTGTCCCTCGGCCTGCAGGGCCCGCTCGCCACGCAGTACCTCTGGGACCGGCTGGGGGCCGAACGCGGCTACAGCGGCCCTAACGCCACCGGCCCCGCCGGCTGCGGGAACGGCAGCGCGGCCACCGACCCCCTGCGGCAGGTGGGAGAACAAAGAAAGGCGTATGCGTGTGAATGGGGCGGGAGCTCTGGGGTGGTGATGGCCCTGGATCTCATGCGCCTGTCTCTTGCAGGAGGTGGAAGTGCTGGTCTCCCGTTGGAACCTCTGCATCAACCTGGGAGGCTTCCTCGTTGGCGTCTTCTCAGTGACTCTCTTTGGACCATGGAGCGACAGCGTAGGTCGCCGTCCCGCACTCATCCTTCCTGCGCTGGGTATGGCCTTGCAAGCGGCCATCTATCTCCTCGTCATGTACCTCCAGCTGCACGTTGCCTACTTTCTCCTTGGCCGTGTTTTGAGTGGCCTCATGGGAGACTACAACCTCATCCTGGCCAGTTGCTTTGCCTATGTGGCCGACACCAGTGATAAACGCGCACGTACGTTCCGCGTGGCTGTGCTGGAGGCGTGCCTGGGCACTGCGGGCATGCTGGCCAGCATTGGTGGTGCCCAATGGCGCAAGGCCCAGGGCTACATCAACCCCTTCTGGCTCGTGCTCGCTGCCAGTCTTGCTGCCACTCTCTACGCTGCTTTCTGTCTTCAGGAGTCGGTGAAGCAGCAGAAACCAGCCAAGCTCTTCACACTCAGTCATTACAAGGCTGTCTACAAGCTGTACACGGCCCCAGAAAACCCAAGCTCCAGGAGGAAGCTCACTCTTTACACCCTGGCTTTCTTTCTTCTTGTCACAGTACATTTTGGAGCCAAAGACCTCTTTGTTTTGTATGAGCTTGGCTCCCCTCTCTGCTGGGCTGCTGACCTCATTGGGTACGGCTCAGCCGCCACCTACCTGGCTTACCTGAGCAGCCTGGGGGGCCTGCGCCTGCTGCAGCTGTGCCTTGAAGACACTTGGGTGGCAGAGATAGGATTGATCTCCAACATTTCTGGACTGGTTGTGATTTCTCTTGCTGCTACGACACCACTGATGTTTACAGGTGATGCCTCTATCTCAGGCTCTTAGCTTAGAGATGCCAGGAGATTTTTCTGGTAGTTTCAAGCTCATAGAATCATAGAATGGTTTGGGTTGGAAAGGACCTTAAGATCATCCAGTTCCAACCCCCTTGCCATGGGCAGGGACACCTCACACTAAACCATGTCACCCAAGGCTCTGTCCGACCTGGCCTTGTACTGAACAGCCCGTGTACTGAAAACTGGGGCTTCATAACAGCAAAGCTGTCCTAACACTGAAGCTGAAAGTGCAACCATATAGTTCCTAGAATATTAAGTTTCCCATAAGCTGTATTACACTACAGACATAGACTGAAGTGCATTATCAGATGCAGGAGGGTGAATTTGGTCTAAATATAGCAGAGAGAAACTGGAGCTACTGATTTCTGGGATTGACTTTGGAGACTTTATTTTTCAGCTGAGCTTTCCCTAATGTGTTGTATCTTGCTCACAGGTTATGGGATTCTGTTCCTTTCCATGGCAGCCACTCCAGTCATCAGAGCCAAGCTCTCCAAGTTGGTCAGCGAGACAGAGCAGGGTAAGGAGTTAGTATGCTTAAGCCATATCCTGAAACACTGGCTTCTTGAACAAGTGAAACCAAACTGCTTTGGGAGGTTAGGACTTCCCTGGCTCCTTTGGACTCCTGTGCTCCCCCATTCACCCTCAGGCCCATGGTAGCACCAGTTCAGATGCTACATTTCAAGATAAGGACAAGGGAAAAAAGCAAGATGGAAAGTATTGCATTCAATCTCAGGAACAGTTTGTTCATCCTATTTGTTTCCAAACTTTTACAGGGAGCAAGAGTTAAAATGGATTATACAATGAGCAGAAAGTAGAGATTCCCTCACCAGAACTTCTTTCTGTAGATCAGTAACAGTGGGAGGGAACCCAGTGTTTTTGAAGGGTTATATCATTGACCATGGGGAAAGATCATGGATAACCCATCGGAGGAGTGTATTTGCCTTCCGGTAATTTATTTGTAGAGCTTGTGCTTGCTCTTAACTCTGCACTGGAATGACTCTGCAGGCAGACAGAGGGAGGAGGTGACTTTGCACAGTTTGCGTTTCTTATATTATAATGAAGATGGCACATACTTGATACCACATTTATGATGGTAAGTCTATAAAGTGCAGTCTTTTGCTGTACTTAATGTTCAACAGGTGATAAGGTGTGCTTGGTGTAAACAAATCCACAGAGCCTTGTCTTGAAGCTTTATGATGAAGCTGATAGCTAATACCCCTGGTCGGACCCAGTGATGCCAATTGTGGAAGTCACAGAAACTGAACTTGCCAAGTTTGAACTTGCCAGGCCAGTGTGGTATGCCTTCTCTCTGCTCTCAGCTCTTCTTATCACACATGATACCCAGACGCCAGTTCTCTGATGGGAAGTGCACAGCCTTACTAAGATTGACAGAATCCCACTGAAGGTGATGTGTTAAAGGCGTTTGTAGGCAGGGCTCTCTCACCATTAACCTCTTCGTGTGTTTTTCAGGTGCTCTCTTTGCTTCTGTTGCCTGTGTGGAAGCACTGTGTTCACTTGTGGCTACAGGAGTGTTCAACTCTCTCTACCCTGCCAGCTTGCACTTCATGAGGGGATTTCCATTTCTTTTGGGGGCTATAATCCTCCTTATTCCAGCAGCTATTATTGGGTAATTTACTTCAAATGCCTAAACTTTGCCTTAGGACCTGTGAAGTGTTATATGAAAAATACCATTTACTTTGCATAGAGGCTCTCAGTTTTTAAGGTGTATTTTAAGTTATGCTTGTGAGAGGGTGTTTAGTGCCCCAGTTAGGCAGAGGAGGGGGTCTGTTTCTTCTTGCATCTGAATCTTAGTGATAGGATCCATGATGCATCCTGAGTAACATAGCTGCTGATGTTAAAAGCACTTCAAAGTCTTGAATTTGAAAGTCTTTCTTTATGGGAGAGATGGAGCTCTATTAGTGGTCTCTCTGCTTGGGGTTTCTTTAATCAAAGCAAAAGTTGTGTCGTGATAGAAAATAAATCCCCTGGTAAGTCCTGGGAGAGAGAATGTGTTGGGATTTGCAGTAAAAGTGCAGCAGCTTCTGGCAGGGTCATTTTGTTCTGTTCCTTTGAAACTTTAAAGCTCAGTTCATTCAGCAACATGCCAGTGTGCCTCCATAGGCTCTGACTGTTTGTTCTTTCTTAGGTGGATAGAAATCTGGGACTCAAACCACGACTACAATCACTTCTCAGATGCTTCCCTGTCCCCTGCAGATGGCTGAGAAGCAACTTAGCAACAAGGACTTGGCCAGCTCAGCAGTGCCCATCTGAAGACTGCTCTTTATACTTTCCCTGAAGGACAGATCAGCACGGGAGGGACACCCTGCTTGTCCTTGCTAATCTTTAAATGCCAGATAGTTGGAAATCGTGGCTCTTACCACCAGTAAGAACTTGACCTGCAGATGTCAATGCCTCCTCGCTGTTGCGTTGGCTCATCTGGCAGAGAAAACCCAAGAGACCCAAAAGCCAATCAAGAGTAAAAGCTGTTGCTGGCCATTTGCAAGGCTGGTTAGTGGTTTGGGGTTTGGTGAGGGGGAAAGGTTCATGCTTTTAGTGGTGAGAGAAGACTGAATTCTGTTTTAATTGCCAAACATGTGCCCCTCTTGAGTACTACAGAGGGATGAGCTGGTGTAGGGACAGGATGAGTGTCTTTGGAGGTAATTTGTTTTCGTTGTGTGGGCGTAATTTTGTGTCATTGACCTCTGAAGTTCTGCTGCCCTTCCCAGGATATGTTGATGCCAGCAAGTAAGCCCCATGTTCGTAATTGTTCTTTTCGAAGCATTAACTGTATTGCCTCAATCCTGTTCTCTTAAAAACTGCCATGAACCAGCAGTTCTGTGTGCTCTGCATTGCACACATGGTTGAGATACATGCAATCATGTCTTTACTGTGCAGTTACTTAGTAGACATGTTACTTTCAGAAGGGATAAAACCTCCATTGTCTTCTGTGGCTCTTAGAACGCTTCACATCATTTGTCCTTGCCTCACTCTCGCTTGTCTCCATTATTTTCCTTCTGCTTCATTTATTGAAACCTCTGCAGTAAAGCAGCAGCAGCAGCAAGTTACCTGCAGTGTGGGGAGGGAGCATGTGAGAGTCCAGAGCCAGGAAAAATGCAGGTTTGGGACTTGCAAGCAGCCAGAGCTTGCTTTTCCTGAGCACTGGAGTAAAGCAGGTGGGAGTGCTTAGTCTGTAACCTGTCCTTCAATATGCAGTAAATATGAAATGCTTACATACAGCTTTGTTCCCTGTTCCTTGGGAGCTTGTGGTAAAAGGAGGAGGTGGAGAAGAAGGGAGGTTGTAAGAACTTGGTGTTATGCCACTTGC